GTTCGCGTAGTCGCGCTCGTAGTACCACACGACGCTCTATATGCCGTTACCATGCGCTTTTCGGTAGTGCTGCTAGAAATTGCATTAAACCATGCACATTTGCATCGACCAAGAAGAAGCAGGCTGAACAAAGCCTAGACAGATATCATATACATAGTCTGCTAAAGACCAAGGATGACGACCAACCGATTCTCACCAACGGTGCCTCAGAAAAAGCTGATCGACAAATATTGACGACTGACTTAGATACTCAGCATACCGTAAGTCGTCTATTCATGATAGCCGATCAAATACCAGGGATCATGTTCTTAGTCGACACTGGAGCAGAAGTCAGCGTGATCCCACCAGGCCCAAACGAATCGACTAAGAGGCGAACAACAAATCTAGGTGCTGCCAACGGAACGCCTATATCAATTTTCAGGCAGCATTCCCTCCACCGATCTTGGGCTTAGACACAAATCCCGTTGGATTTTTACAGCAGCTGCTATACCATTTGACATCCTCGGAACCGCTTTCCTGCATCATTTCGATCTAATGGTCGGTACTCGTCAGCGAAAGCTAATTGACAAACAAACATATCTTTCCATCTGCAGAATCGAGTCGTCTTCCAAAACCATCACTCCCATTTATCCCCAGCAACAAACTGACAAAGACTTACTAGAACTGTTCGCGAAGTTCCCACAGCTGGTTCGCCCTTCTAAAGCTGTTTTTCTGGTAGCAACTAATGTAACGCACCACACACAAACCAGTGGTAAACCAGTCTCCACTCGACCACGACGTCTTGCCACTGATAAATTGAAGGTGGCCAGAGCGGAATTCGAGTATATACTCAAACAGTATTGTCTGCCCAGCCGAAAGTCAGTGGGTTTCACCATTTAACATGGTGCCAAAGAAGACTGGCGACCGTGTGACGATTATCGGGAACGGAACAGGTTCACCTGCTCTGACAAATATACTCCTAGAGAAATCCGCCACCTAGACTATGTCTCAGAGTTCATGTCAGGTGCGAAAAACTTTGTCACAGACACGTTGTCACGAGTCAAGTCAATCACGCTTGGTCACAGAATCGATCTAACAGCAACGGCCGCAGCAAAACAGACCGATCCGGAGGTTGATCAACTTCGTACACCCAGTTCCCTCCGCATCCGACCAGTTCCACCATCTACCTATGACGCATGCGTTTTTTTGCACCTACTCACACCCGTGTACAGAGCCAGAAAAGCTTTGTACCGCCGGAGCTTTAAACTTGTACGCACGTATTCGTACGTATCGACGGCGTCAAGCGACCCCTGGCTTCGTCATATGAAGGAGCATTCACAGTCCTCCAACGGAACGACAAAGTATATGTCATCAATCGCTACGGGAAGTGTGAGTCAGTACCTACTAATCGCTTAAAAGTCGCCCAGCTCGACAAGGACAATGCCTCTATAAAAATGCCTGTTCCTGCGTCAACAACACACAGTCCTAGCATTTCAGCGACGTCCGCTGAGATACCTCCAACACCGTCTAGTGCACCGAGAACGACTAAGTCAGGTAGACAGATATCTTACCCTCGTCGTTTTGTTCAGACAGTGCATTTTGCTGCCTAGATCCACTTTACCATATTTGAAAATAACAAAATAATGGAAAAATGTTTTGAAAACACCAAAAAAGAGTAAAACGGGTTGAAAACAAAAATGTGTTGTGGTTATTTTAGTTAAGCACTTATTATAGCCGTGCACTATTGTCACTACCGTTTTACGTTTGTTTTTCATGTACGCCTGTAAACTCGGTCACACGTTCAGGTTGGAGCCGGACGCCTCAATTTGTATATTGAACATTTCCCGTCGAACCGCTACCCTTCTACGAGCCGTTTTTGCAAACATTTTTCGTTTTGACACCGTAGAGAGGACACGACTGGGAGCCCGCTAGGATCGAATCGCCTGATTCTCCTTCAACAGCTGTATCACGTTTCACTACCTGGTCTCGTAGAAGGCTGGCCCGCGACGGATAGTGCTAACGTAGATCGAAGGACTGTTTACACAGTTCCTTCTGGGGGAGGGCTGTGTAGCAGTCTGGAGATCCCCCCGGATTGCCTGAGTATGTTGTGTAAAATACTAAATAAAAGTACCATATTATATTGCACACTTAGAGGTTGTTTGCAGAATGCTGATATGCAGGTTGCTTTGTTTGTCTGAGCCAACACACACGCGGTGTACACACACAGTGCCACGGTTGGATTCAACACGCTGCTCCATCGAGCGGTCCCTCACATCCTTTCCTAGCTAGCTCGTGTCGTCCGGCGTCGTTATTAGCCAATACACGTGAAAAGCGTATACCACAATACACTTTCGTTCAGTCACTTCCGACCTTCTCTTTCATTACTAGGGACGGTACTCGCCGGTAGTCAGTCGCGAATACTGGAAGTCTGTTGGTGTGAGTCGGCCACTCTCGCTACGAGTGCTCCAACAATTGACGTAGTGTGAAGGTGTGATCGATAAAGCCGTCAGGGAGAGTAAAGTCTCCCAGGAAAAATCCTTAATTAAATGGGAAAACGATTCGAACTAGTGGTGTACAAAAGAAACATGAAGAGGTTACGGAATGTTCACACCAGGAACTTCAGTTCTACTCGACGCACGTACTTCATCCTGGATGGCGGAGCTGAACTACAAATCAAGGCAGCCGACCTAGCCATTCTGATATGCGAACCCTCCTGTCTTGGTTAATAAATATTCACTAGTTTCCACACTACTTGTATCCTTTTCTGTAGCTGGTTCCGCAACACGCTTTTGCCTCCAAGCGTTGACTTCTGGTTTTCGACTGGGGTTCGGAGCTAGCAGAGAACTTGTTCAGTTCAACCGGAATCGCGCAGTCAGAGGTAGATCGTAACAAAATCCGCGACTTGGACGAAAACCGGCCTGCTCATCGTGAACCGAGCTTACACGTGTACCATCATGTCTTTGAAAAACGACAGAAACAAGTAACTTAGAGGCAATTGAGATCAGATGGATATCTCTATAACTGCCACAATCAGAACGTGAGACCCGCTTGAAAATTGGGGTTATTATCGAGCGGCTCCAGTCAGTTGGGACAGTTTCCTGATCCCACAGCTTCATAAGTAAGTTGTGCAGGTCATCTACAAGAGGAAGTTCACAGAATTTGAAGACATCTGGAGATATTCTACCGGTCCTGCGGTCTTAGTTTACTATCAAAAGCCTGATCACACGTTCAACTTTTGCGCGTGAACGCGGGTCCATGGGGAAGTCCCAGGGAGAAGGACGAGCAATGGCCGAAGCAGAAGCTGGTAACTCTATAAAGTTTATCTACTTTTCAAACTGTTCACCCCAACACTCCAAGCGTTTTGACAAAGTATGGATAGGCCGTCCGCCCTCACCACGTGTAGTCTCGCTGGCACCAGATCTCCTTCTGCCCGTTTCGCGTATCAAACGGGATAACTTCCGATGGTTACGAAGGACAGCAACCACTTCCATCTTCGATGCACGATGAGACCACCAAGCTTCGCAGACGCTTTTCAAGTTAGCAGGCAGTCTCGACAATGTCCAGCTCGGCAACTTGATTAGCCACATGAAGACATGCCAGGTGCTAATGACGTTTGGTGAATATGCGAAGAATAGGCCTCTACTATCTTCAGAGAACATTTACTCAGCCCGGACACCAGCATACTTTGTTGCGCATTCAGAACATCTGGCTTCGTCAGATGGCATGTACCCATGCACTCACAGCGGCGCCGCATGCGCCCATCGAAGCGAACCGTAAAGTCGGCACAAACGAGTGCGTGGTCAGAGTCCACGCCCGTGCTCTAAATTGAGCGACAGTTTTAGACACAGCCTCTCCGGCGGTAATTGATAGCGATATGATCGATTTGCATCCATGATTGGTGTGAGGTGGTTGGGCGACATGTTTCCCTTCTGCAAGTGCTGTGTCGGAAGTTAGCACTCGCGAGAAATAGATGAGAATCTTCAAATAGGTGTAGCAACCGCTCATTGTTATCAATACGAGAGCCTACATCGTGATGGCCGCCAAGATGAAGCTCATCAGTAGACAGCTTTCCAACATAGGCGCTCAGATCCCCAGCAAGCACCACAGTATCCGTACTTTTCCTGTAACGAAGGAGGTCGTTTAGTTGATGATGGAATTCATAGTACACCGGATCAGCGCCACAATTTGAGGGCGCGTATGCCAAAATGACAAACAGGCACCGTTTGTCCTCAAGCAACTTCGAAACTCTGAAGGAGCCAAGCAATCTGACTGCACACATCCGGCTGTTCATTGGGATCCAGTCAACCGGGGCAGCTACATCCCTGGGACCCAAAGCAATACCCACACTGACTTGACAAGTATTTGAAGCTGTACTATCTCTAGACAAACGCAATTAGAACGCGCCGCCAGTGTTGCTTGTGGAGGATTGCAGGGTAATCACGGAACGCGTATCTTGGGTGCAGGTTTCCGATAAGCAGCAGATGTTGATCGATAGGGTCTCAAGTGTCCGGGCAAGTGCTGCCTGCTGGCCAATGTGCAACAAAGTGCGCATGTTGAGGCATGCCAGACTTAGCGAGGATCGAAGACTCCAAAAGGAAACGGATGAACTGAGGTTGTCCGCTTGGTTGCACATGAACTTGTCCACGGGACTGGAGCGACGGCTTGCGATTGTATGAGTTAAAATTAGAAGACAAACGACTATTGAAGCAAGGTGAGGGAGGGCTAAGAATTTCGGGTTGAAAACAGGGGGTGGGACGAGAAAAATGAAAAAGCGCAAGAGGGGGAAGAAGACAGGAAGGCTTGAACAGTGGCAACCTTACCACTATCCACGCTGCTCGGTGCAGCAGATATGGCGCCGTTGATTATCCTCTGCGGCGGTCAGAACATCGAAAAGTCGTGTGGTAAGAAGTTTATAGAGTTGCACAAGAAGGATATAGCACAAGACCAGCTCATCCGACGAGTGAGTTTAATAAATACGAAAAAGCAAAGGTGCAGTATTAGAAAGCCTATGCAAAACTTACTCGACCGAAGCGATCGGGTGAAACGTCACACAAAAGTATCAGATCCATGTTGTCGGGATCTTCAAAATAGATCCCATCGATATAAACGGCGCAGAGTATATGGGCCCAGCCTACGAAAAGAAAACATGTAAGCTGGCGTTCAAAAATACCGTATCTTGCACCACGACAACGCTTGAAGGCACCATCTTTGATGGGACACAAATCGCATCGCTAGGCGCAAATATGATTCTTCAGACAGTTTACCCACAATTTTGCTTATCCGAACTTGCGATTCGCATTTGCGACAGAACCATTTATCGTGGCAGAACTCCCTTTTGACGCCATAGCAACCTGTCAATGAAGCTCAATGAAATGTAGGGACCTTCGTGCACTGCTAAAGCACAGCCACCACATGTGATAATGCTGTTCGAATTAGTTTGGGCCGATGCGCCGCACACGGAGCATTTAGTGGACATTAGATGAAACACAGCTTTTCAGCTAGACACTAGTAGGTGAGACAGTGGGAAAGCTGAAATACAAATAAGACGGGTATGTAGTGTTTGCAACCCACAGGTGCATGATGGTCATGCAAACAGAACCGCTGTACTGGCATTATTATAATACTGGACGGGAAGATGAGAAAGAGAGTAGATGGGAAAAACAGGTGTACATTATCTCCACCATCAATCAACAGGTTTGGGAAATGTAACCGTGGGCAGCAAGTGCCACTCGCCTAAATCCGGAGTAGGGTTTGAAACGATTTCATAACGGATTGTGAAGATTGACCGACTACCTGAGCAACAGTGCAATTCTCCACAAAGGAGTAGGTCTAGTGTGGTATAAAGTAAACGACGGCGAAAATCTAACAAGGCTATCCCTACTTGATGAGACTAAACCAGTAGGAAACGCGTCGTGGAGGGAAGGGACGGCGGAGAGCATCATCGAAACCCTTCACTTCGAATGACTTCAAAGTCAGTCGAAGCTACAGTTGAGAATGCGTGTCGCAATCCAAGACACGTGGCGGATGCTCCGAAGCCCGAAAATCGCATATTTGTATGTTTTTTTAATATTCAACGGATAGACATGGAGCCAGAAAAAGCCATAGAAAACAGTGGTAATGATGTAAAAGCAAAACCGAACAAAAGACAGAAATTCATGATTTTGCCAGAGGGCTACCCAGACCGAAGCAGAGAGTTGACTTAGGGGACACCACTCCGAACGTTTGGCTAAATAGTCTGCGATAAGACCGGGCCTCTACGTAATGAGTGTGTATATGCGTGTAAGATGGCACTCGCCATAGGAACTCTTCAGCGCCATTGCAATACAGATTGATGGCATAAAAAGGTGAAATTAGTTTTCACACCCTACTTAGCAGGGGTACGGAAGAGGCCGATGGATGTTCCTCTGCAGAACACAGTCATAAGAGACATCAGTGTGCAACTTATGGACGAAGTTCGGCTGTAGTAGAATGCAAGCGCCACGTGTTGTCTGTGACTGTAGGAAAAAATACCCGCATCTAAATGGTTTATTTCCACAATTAATTTGCCAACTATCAAACCTCGCGTGAGCCTCACAGTGGTCCCAGGCGCATAATCTGCTACGATTGGAAAGGACACGAAAATGACCGCAGTGTTGAAAACGGCAAGGTTATAGGTGGTCGGCGTCAAGCTAACACCAATGTGACCGCCATAAATATACTCGGCTAGACATCCCACACTACTGTGCGGCTCAGCCTATTAAGTTAATGATTAGATATAGGTAAACTTAAAGATATCCACTTAATCTCGGAATATGCAGCTGTCAGCAAAAATAGTAAAAGCGAGCTGTTCCATTTCTCATCAGCATACTCTACGGCAATAATACATCAATACTATGCACATGTTGACAATCCAGATGACTAATAATAAGGAATCATAAAGGAGGAGAACAAGGCGCTAAATATAAAACCCAAATCCGGGAAGACTGAATATTAAACAAACACTACTCGCAAAATAGCAGGGATTTGTGTGATGACCTAGTAACGCGAAATAATTGGGACCCTATCTAAGAGTCAAATCTCCAAGGAAAGCACATTATTTCAATAACCAAACTGATTGTGTCAATGATGTACAACTAAATCAACACCAACATCAGCACAGGCTAGCTGAGGGCGAGAAAAACACCTCAACCAGTGTGTGACATAACAAAAACATAAGATAATAAAAATTACACTAAAAAGCATTCCAAGCACGCAATAAGTGATAAATATTATATCATGCGTTTTGCATGAGATCGGGATTGAAGGAGGAACCTAAAGGGAAGGGAGTGGACAAAGAAACTCATAACAAACGCTACTGCGACCGGCTCTACGCCATATCACCATGTGCGTCCAACAAAACGTTCATCGTCTTTTGGACTCCAGCCAGACAGTCGGGATGCACCAACCGACGCCAGCTTCGAAGTGAGGGCTTTCATTTCTCTCGACCAAGTCATCGCTTGGCCTCCACTCTTCCTCTTCCAACCGCACCCCCGGCGGGCAAACAATGCACGTCGCGGGAGTCGGTGTGCTGGCATGCGCAACACGTGGCCCAGCCACCGGAGCCTGGTGCGTGATATAATGATGCTGAGCGGTTCACTTGCTCTTTTTGCACCAAATACGCGATGCCAAACACGCTGATTGCTCACGCGGTGCTCCCATCAGACATGAGCCAAGCTGCGAAGGCAATGATGATCGAATTTGACGAGCCTCTTTATGTCAGTCGACCTGATTGGCCAGGTTTCACAACCGCATAGGAGGGTTGAACGGACAGCTGCGTTGTAAACTCTGCCCTTCTAGGCGAGATTTATGTGGAGTCTGTGCCACAGGTGGCGGAGATTGGCAAAAGCATCTCGTGTTCTCGCTATACGGTACGGAATCTCATCTTCAATCTCACAGGCGCTAACATAGCTGCATAGGTACCTGAATTCCTGAACGACTTCTAGCTGACCATCACCAAACTTTAGCGCAGTGGTGAGTCCCTACCAATCTTGGAGAAGTACTTTGCATTTCGATGGAGCAAAGCATAGCCCAAAACGGTAGACAACCAGTGCTAATCGGTCCAGTGCTGTTTGGCATGTTTGGGAGCTGTCACAGATTAGGGCAATCTCCTCCGCATACTCCAAGTCAAGAGATCGCATACCAGGAAGTAGCTCCACACCTTCTAGGTCGTGTCCAGCAAGTACTGTTTCCATGACTTCGTCAACTGCGAAGTTAACTAGGAAATGTGACAGTAGGCAATCTTGTCTCACAAAGCTGGTGATACTGAAGGGTGGCGACAATTTGCCATAAACCCTCACTCTGCCCGAACTATGCGCGTACAGCGCTTTGGTAATGTTTACGTATTTATCAGGCACAACTTTCCTCAGCAGACAGTCCTAAAGGGCACATCGATCGACTGAGTCGAAGTCACCTTTTAAGTCAAGAAACATGACAACAGTGGGTCGCCAATAAACATGACAGTGCACCATTAATTGACGCAAGGTGATGGTGTGGTCGATGAAGCCCCGACCTCGACGAAACCAGGCTTGATCCTCACCAATCTGGCTTGCACAAGTGTCAGTCCATCTGTGGAGGACGACAGATGCAAGCAATCTATAGGCAAACGAGATCAGACTGATGCCTCTATGATTGCCGCATTCCGAACGGTAGCCTCCCTTGAAAATTGGGACAATGTCGGAGCGGCTCCAGTCTATCGGGACCGTCTCCTGCTCCCAAAGTTTCACTGGCAATTCACGTAAATCATCTACTAGAATAGGTCTCCCGAATTTGAAGAGGACTGGGGAAATTCTCTGTGCCGCTGCGACCTTATGTAATTTCAACAGCCGGATCTCTCGTTCGACTTCTGTGTGTGAGGGCGGATTCAAGGAGATGGCCCAGAGAGAAGGGCGCTCAATGCCCGAAAAAGAAAGCGATAACTTAGGTTGGTTAAATTGTCTTGCAAAGTGTTCAACCCAACGCACCAAGCGTTTTTAAAGGCTGTGCATCGGCTGTCCATCATCATCATCATCATTATACACGTCAGCTAGAGGTGGGAAACACCTCAGCTGCTGTGCCGCAATACATTAAGGAAAAAAGGAAAATAAATACAAAAGTTGCATGCCAGCTGAGCTACCGGCAACGGATAGGTATCGTTCTGGTAAGCTACCAGCCAGCTACTAGGCAACAAGAAAAATTATTGTTGTACGCTATGAAATGAGATCGTAGGTGGAGGGGGAGGCTAAAAGGGATGGGGATGGACAAAGAAACTCACAGCAGGAACGCCAATGAGGTCGGCTCCTTGCCATGTCAGCAAGTGTATCCAGCCAAACGTGTTCACTGTCTTTTGGACCCCAACCAGGGAGCCGTGACGCTCCAACTGAGGCCAGCTCCGAAGTGAGGGCCTTCATTCCTCTGGAGCAAGTAATCGCTTGGCCACCCCTCCTCTTCTTCCATCCACTTCCCCGGTGAGCAAACAACGCACGTCGTGGAAGTCGGTGGGCTAGCATGCGTAACACGTGGCCGAGCCATCGGAGTCTGGTGCGTGAAATGACGGTGCTGAGCGGTTCAGTTACTTTTCCTGTGCCGTAAACAAGGCGTTCAACACGCTCGTTACTCACGCGATGTTCCCACCAGATGTGAGCCAAACTGCGAAGGCACGGATGGTCGAACGTAACTAGCCTCTTCATATCCGCCGATCTTAGGGGCCAGGTTTCGCAACCGTACAGTAAGGTCGAACGTACCGCTGCACTGTACACTCTACCCATCATGGCGAGAGCAATGTCGCGCCGCCGCCATAGGTGGCAAAGGTTAGCAAAAGCACCTCGAGCTTTTGCTATACGGTTCGTAATCTCGTCTTCTATCCCAAGGGCGCTGATACAGCTTCCCAGGTAGTTGAATTTCTTAAGGACTTCTAGCTGATCCCCACCAAGGGTCAGCGCAGGAGGCGATCCCTGCCAATCTTGGAGGAACGCTTTGCATTTCGATGGTGCAAAGCAAAGCCCGAAGCGGCTGACAGCCAGTGCTAATCTGTCCAGTGCGGCTTGGCACGTCTGGCAGCTGTCACAGATGAGGGCAATGTCGTCTGCATACTCCAAGTCAAGTAGTCGTTCTTCTGGAAGTAGCTCCACACCTTCCAAGTCATGTTCTGTAAATGCAATCTCCATGACTTCGACAATAGCGAAGTTGAAAAGGAAAGGTGACAGCGGGCATCCTTGTCTCACACCGCTGGAGATATTGAAGGGTGGCGATAGCTTGCCGTAAACCCTCACTCTTCCCGTGCTACGCGCGTATAATGCTCGGATAATATTTACATATTTCTCAGGCACACCTTTCCTGAGTAGACAATTCCAAAGGGCATATCGATCAACTGAATCGAAGGCACCTTTGATGTCAAGGAACACGACTACGGTGGGTCACCAATATGTGTGACGGTGCTCCAACAACTGACGCAAGGTGAAGATGTGGTCGATGCAGCCACGATCCCGACGAAACCCGGCTTGATCCTCACGAATATGGCTTTCACGAGCGCCAGT